GTATGGGCTAGCGGCTGAGTCAGCCTCTGTTTTACAAGTGTCGACGGGCAACTAACTGGATGAGAGATCACTTTAGCAATGAATGAGAAGTGATCGGCGGCATGACAGGGCTCACGTGGTCCGATGAGTCATGAAGGCTATCAAAGCCAGAGGCATGATGCTCCTGACATACATTAAATACGATGTTGACACGATGCCAGCGAGGATAAGCTTGAGGCAAAATATGACATTTGCCTTCGGCGAGAAGTAACACTTTTCAAGTCGGCTTCGTAAGGCGTCTGACAAATGGTCGAAGTGACTTGTGGCGAGTCGTCTTCGACAAAAAAGGAGGCGACAAGTTCCGCCTTTCGAGTCGACATGAAGGAATATCGAGTCATCGAGTCGGTAGAATGGTTGTCCCTACTGGTCTCTGGCCGCTAAGTCGATTAGGGCATAGTATGTAAAAGTACATTTGTCCGTTGCTTGGCAATGAGTTTGCACTTTAGCGAATGAGAACACCATAACAATAATAATATAATAATATATTAAATACTAATATTTAATATACTAATAATGTATTATATAATAATATAGTTAAAGTAACATCATAATAAATAATAATAAAATATAAATAAATTACTAAAAAATAATAAAAAATTTATTGATAGTAAATAATGAATATACATAAATATATAATATTTAACTAAATATATTAATATATAGTTATAATTGACAAATTTATTATATTATATTGTACTATATCATAGTTAATCTAATATATGAATAATATTTATGAATATATAAAATATATTAATATTAAATATCTTAATAATAATATTATTAAATACTAATTTTAATATGCTGATAATGTATTATATAATAATATAACTAAAAATATAATAATGAATATTAATAAATATAAATTAATTAAAAAAATTTATTAAAAAGTTATTGATAATAAATAATTTATAATTATATACTATACAATATTATAATCACTATAGTATTATTAATTTTTAATAAATAATATGTAATAAATTAAAATTATAAAATGTTTATACAATAGTAATATATTAATAATAAAGCAAATAAATATATATTAACAATATAATAGATATATTATATAGTACATGTAATATAATATATAAAATATTAATAAATAATATTAATAAATTATTTAGTAAATAATATAATATATTAGTACATAAATAACTTATTAGCCAATAAAGGTTATGTAAATTAATATATTCATAATATAATAATATTTATTTATGTCATAAAATATTAATCTTATTATTAATAAACTCTAAACATATTAGAAACTATAAATATATATATAATGTTAAAATATTTATACTATATTAATTTATTAATAATTTTGTCAATAACAAAATAGTAATATCATTAACAATAGCATATATTATATATATATATATATATTATATATATATATATATATATATATATATATATATATATATATATATATATATATATAATATATATATATATATATTATATATATATATATATATTATATATATATATATATATATATATATATATATATATATATATATAATATTAATATCAGTAAAAATATCATATTAATAATAAAATAATATTATTTTAAAAATATTATATATATATGACAATAGAAAAATGATATACCAAAATAATTTAATATATTATTATTTGAAATAATATGAATAATTATATTGTAATATAATTTATTAAATTATAATATAATATTATAATACATTATACAATATTATATTGTATTATATTTAATATTAATAATATTATAATAAATGTAAAATAATTATTATAACATATTATTTATAATATATTTTATTATAATTAATATATAGTATATTAGTAATATATTTAATACTAATGGTATAATGGGTGAAATAGTGTTGAACAAAAATACTCAACATGATGTTTTGATACTTTTGGGGGAAATGCAACACCATAGTGTTTTTTTTACAAAAACACAACAAAAAAAAACACTATGACATCCAAGCAAAGCCTAAGACTATCTCCAACTGGGCGCTATTTTGCCGCATAAAGTGGTTTTGCCGCTGATGACGAGCTCCAACCGGACGCTATATCCCTCTGCATTTTAGCGGTGATGAACAGTGCGACGTCATATTTGGCGTCGCACTGTTCATCACCGCATTACTGTTTGTTTTCTTTTTTTTATTTGCAAATTTTTTTTTCCATCATACTTTTATGTATTTACAATTTGACCCTAATTGTTTTATTAAATGTATAAAACAACCCTAATAATATTTAAATTTTATAATTTTACCCTAATTGTATAATTTGGACAAAATAAATTATTTTTTAAAAATAAAAATAATGCTAAAATTTTAAAGACATTATTATTAATTATAATATTAAAATCTAGACATTAAGTAAAGTCCCATGAAATATAAAGAGCAATCCTAATACATAATTCAAATATAAATTACATATTTGAAATACATAACATATAAAAACTGACACGCATAATATAAAACTTCATTAAAATAAAACATAAAATACAAACTAAACATGGAACATTTCCTGAGATGGACAAGCAACTCTCAATAATCTGGTAGATCGGGGCCACAGTGTCCAATATCATTGAAGTAATTGCCAAAATTAGAAGCAGACCCTTGTTCTTGTTGATTTCTTTTTTTGTATTATTTTAATTTGTTGAGCTCGAACGTACTCACGCACGTTTGGATCAGCAATGGAATTCAAATCTTTCATTATAATTTTTCATTCATCTCTATCTTTTTTCATAGCTATATTTTCTCGTTCGATATCAAATGCTACTTGCCTGTCCAAGCTCGCCTTGTCTAACCTATCTATAAGTCGGTTGTTGGAGGTCTCGATGGAGTCCACTACGCTTGACTTATGATCATCATTTTTTCTTTTTAATTTGGCTTTTTTTACCCCAATAGGTCGTTCAGATGGAGTAAATGATGACAATCCAGGAGATGTTGATATAGAAGATTCCGGAGTGGGATTATCTGATTGTGACGAGTCGAAGTTCACACTTTGGGATTGTATTCGACCAACTTGTCTTGCTGTGGGGACATCATCTTTAAATTTTTCAAAATTTTTAACCATATTCCAGACATGATCAAATTTGAAACCTTTTTTGTACTTTGGTTCTTGCATAAATAACATCTTTGCTCAAACTAACTGCAAGTTGTAATGAACATCAAGTTATGTTTTTCAACAATAATAATAAATTTCAAATGATAATTAATAGAATACTTACAATATCTTTATCTGAAGCACCACTTGGATTCAGATTCTCTACTTGTCTCAAGCACGCATTCAATTTTCTTACTTCATTACTTATGATTTCCATTCGAGAATGAATTGATCGGCTCGTACGCACATCAGAATTTTGGTCTTGAAGTTCATTGTATCTGTCCTCCACACGAGACCAAAATGCATCCTGAGACTGGTTTCTACTGATAATAGGGTCTTGAGAAATATCCAAGAATACTTAACAAAGGAGCACATCTTCAGTAAGTGTGTATCCAGATGATCGAATAGACATTTTTTTTTGTAAAAAGCGGTTGGTTTGGAGATTAGAAATACTTTAAAGAAATACTTCGAATTGGGTGGTTTGAAGTAGAAACCGTGAATGTTATTTATAACCAATCCAAATTTGTTTTTTTGTTTGAATTTGAATATGTCGGTGGTCAACATTTGAAATTGAATCGTTGTGGACAAACTGATCAGCTTTACACATTGTCCAACGTTGTCAGTGGGAATCATTTTTTGAAAACTGATCAGCTTTACACATTGTCCAACGTATACACAGCTCAGCTTTCCTTGAATTGTGTGAAAGCTTTGTACGAGTGGGAATTATTTTTTGAAAACTGATTAGCTTTACACATTGTCCAACGTATACACAACTCAGCTTTCCTTGAATTGTGTGAAAGCTTTGTACGAGTGGGAATCATTTTTTGAAAACTGATCAGCTTTACACATTATCCAACATATACACAACTCAGCTTTCCTTGAATTGTGTGAAAGCTTTGTATCAGTGGGAATCATTTTTTGAAAACTGATCAGCTTTACACATTGTCCAACGTATACACAACTCAGCTTTCCTTGAATTATGTGAAAGCTTTGTACGAGTGGGAATCATTTTTTTGAAAACTGATCAGCTTTACACATTATCCAACGTATACACAACTTAGCTTTCCTTGAATTGTGTGAAAGCTTTGTACGAGTGGGAATCATTTTTTTTAAAAACTGATCAGCTTTACACATTGTCCAACGTATACACATCTCAGCTTTCCTTGAATTGTGTGAAAGCTTTGTACGAGTGGGAATCATTTTTTTAAAAAACTGATCAGCTTTACACATTGTCCAACGTATACACAACTCAGCAAAGTTTTATAAATAGCATACTAGATTAGGTACATCCACACAATTATTCGTTATTGTGTTAAAATTATTATTCTCCATTTCTGCATACCTCAGTCATTCTTTTCTTACTCCAAAAATGAATTTTTATGTTGGAGGTCCATCATATTTATCATCATCTTCATCTTCGGATAATGATAATTTTCTGACCAATATCATTGCAGAGATTGATGAAACCGAAGAAGTAATTTGTGAGTACATCAACAACAACATGATCATCGCTAAGAATTTACGTCAACAAAACTACCAACCGATCCATGGTGGCTCGATTCTCGGTCATGCAGTGATCAACCGCGATCGAGAAACTACGCATCAGAATTTGGTCATATATTACTTTGTCGATAATCCACGTTTTGGAGAAGATATGTTTCGTCGTCGATATCGGATGTCAAGAAGTTTGTTCATTCGTATTGTTGATGCAGTGAAAGATCATGACCATCATTTCCAACAATGAAATGATGGACTTGGTAGAATGGGATTATCACCGTTACAGAAAGTAACAGCTGTTTTCAGCATGTTGGCATACGGTCTACCAGCTGATGCTATGGACGAATACGTTAAAATAGATGAGTCAACAGCAATTGAAAGTATGACAAGATTTTGTCATGATATGGTGGAGATATTCGCAGAGCGGTATCTACGAACACCTAACGCTAACAATATTGCTAGGCTACTCTATATTGGTAAAAAACATGATTTTCCAGGAATGTTAGGAAGTCTTGATTGTATGCATTGGAAATAAAAAAATTATCCAACAACATGGTCTGGGCAATACACAGGGCGTAGTGGGTCACCAACTATTATCCTTGAAGCTGTGACAGATTATGATCTTTGGATATGACACGCATATTTTTGTATGCCAGGCACCAATAATGATATCAATGTGCTGGAGTTATCTAATCTTTTCTCCAACCTAGCTCAAGGTATTGCTCCTCCCGCTCACTATGTTATTCAAGGAAAAGAGTATAATATGGGTTATTATTTAGCTGATGGTATATATTCAAAATGAGCTACTATTGTACAAACAATCCAACAGCCACAAGGTAGGAAGAAAAAATATTTTGCGATGAAACAGGAAGCATGTAGAAAAGATGTAGAACGTGCATTCGGAGTTCTCCAATCACGATATGCAATTGTGGCAGGATCAGCACGTTTTTGGAAAAAACATGTATTACATGACATAATGACTGCATGCATTATTATGCACAATATGATAATCAAGGATGAACGTGATCTTTATGTACCAATTCAAGAAGTGAGTGAAGCACCAACACCAGAAGTTAATATGGTAGCAGATGAAACTACAAGATTTACTCAATTTATTGCAAAAATCAAGGATAAAGATGCCCATATTGTGCTTCGTAATGCATTGATAGATCATCTATGGGAGGAATACACTAATTCAGATAGTTAAGTGCATACTAAATTTGTAAATTTTACATTGTTGTTAATGTTTAATTATTTTCTTGTATTTTATTTTCTTTTGTGTTCTTGAATGTAATATTTTGGCAATATCAATAATAAAAAAATAATATTTTAGCAATTGTTCGCGTGGAAAACTGTTATCTTTTTCATTGAAATGATTGTCGTCTTGGATTACAAAGATCCGGTCTTTTATAGATCCGGTTACAACTAAATCAAAGAAAAAAAATAAAAATTAAACTTTCCTCTTTCGAACGAATCGCAAGCTCCTGTTTTGCGCGGTGCTTGGCTTGTGTGGGTTTTGGCGACGCCGGGGTTAATCCGTGACCACCGGCGCGATGCTAGATCCGGTCGGATCTACACGAGTATGGCGGTATTAATTCCACGAGGGAATAATACCGGGAGGGATTAATCCACAAGGGAATAATCGCTCAGATCTCGGATCTAAGACTGCAAGCCTTAGATCTGGAGTGTAGTCTCGTGTGATCTGAGATCTTCCTTTCTTCTGCTCGAGTATCGCTGGCCTTTTTTGACGTGATTGGTCGCCGAGGATGCAGATCTGAATGTGCAAGTCTTCTGGTCTTCAAGCTCCGGGTTCACTTTGTCTTGCTTCAATCCGGCAGAGTTTCGGCTCTTGAAAGTTCGACCTCTGAAAATGAACATCTTTAAGCCAATTAAATAGGCCTCTCAGGACAGTGCCTGCAAAAAGGGAATTTCGCCACCTCTGGGCCACTGTCGGCGCACCGTGGGCCAACTGTCGGCAGCCTCGGGGTGCCGCAGGCTGGTGCCTAGCCACCTGAAGGTGGCTCGGCTCATGGCCGAGCCACCCCCGAGGTGGCTCGCCACCGAGCCGAACGCCCGAGGTGGCTCGGCCCCGCCGAGAGCCCCCAAGGGGCTCGGCATTGCCGAGCCAGACCACCTGAGGTGGCTCGGCACCGAGCCACCTCAGTGGTGCTGGACCTTGGCCGACGCACCTTGAGGTGGCTCGCTTTGGCGAGCCCTGCCGCGGCGGTGTTGTCCGATCTTTTTCGAGTCACGGCGTTTTCCGTTGTCCTTGTTGTCTGTGTTTCGGTTTGACCTGGACCTGATTTGATGATCCTGATTTGGCAGTAGAATTGATTCCTGATTTGCAAGTAAATCCGCTTCTTGAGTTCCGATCCGAAATTGATCTTTGATTCGATCGTGATGTCGCGGTTTCCCCTTGGGTTTGGGATGACTCGTTGACATCTCTCGAACAGCATTGGCTTTGAATCCCACAATCGAATGGACGTACATTTCGTTACTTGCGTGGATACGTCGATCTGTCGCGCCTCGTTGTTCGTCGTTTGTGCCGAGCTGTGCTAAAGGGACTATAAGCGCAATTTATATGCCTACGGATACCTCCCAAGTATTTCAGCAGAAGCCTCGTTCTTTTATAGACGAGTCGGAAATACTTTGGATATGAATTGTCCCCACCTTCAGTCCGGTGTAACGGGAGCCTCGGAATGGCTTCTGTCCTTTGATTCCTTTAATCTTCAGGCTATGGATGTCAGCGTGGAAAACTGTTATCTTTTCATGAAATGATTGTCATCATTGGATTACAAAATCCGGCTATTTTAAGATCCGCGGTTACAATAAATCAAAGAAAAAAATAAAAATTACAAGCTTTCGCTGCTTTCGACACGAATGCGCAAGCTCCCTGTTTTGGCGGTTGCTTGCTTGTGTGGCGTTTTCTTTGCCGACGCCGCGGAGTAATCCGTGGACCTAACCGCGCGATCTAGATTCCGTCGGATGCTACACAGAGTATGCGGGTATTATGCCACGAAGGGAATAATACCGGAGGTTGATTTAATCCACCACAGGGAATAATGCGCCTCAGATCCTCAGAGATCTAAGACCAAGCTTAGATCTTGGAGTGTGTCTCGTGTAGATCTCAGATCCTGTTCTTTCTCCTCTCGACGATCTGCGTTTTTGACTGTGGATAGGTCAGGCCGAGGAGATCAGATCTGAATGTGCAAGTTTCTGGTCTTCAAGACCGGGTTCACTCTTAACAATCCGGGCGAGCGATTTACGGCTCTTGAAATTCGACCTCTGAAATGAACATCTCTAGGCCTATTTATAGTTCTCAGGACAGTGGCTGCAAAACCAGGGATTGTCGCCAACCTCTGGCCACTGTCGGCCACCTCGGGCAGCTGTCGCCAACCTCGGGTGGCCGGAAACTGTGACCTAGCCACCTTGAGGTGGCTCGCTGCATGGCCGAGCCACCCCAAGGTGGCTCGCCGACGAGCCACCCCGAGCGTGGCTTCGGCTTTGGGCCGAACCCCCGGGGCAGTGTTTTCCAAGCTTTTCGAGTCGTTTTCCTTTGCCTCGTTTGTCCGTGGTTTCGCTTGACGCCTGAGACTCTTGATTTGATTGATCTGATTTTGGCAGTAAATTGGATTCGCTGATTTGCGCAGCTAAATCCGCACTATACGTGACGTGAGTACCGAGAAATGTGATCTTGCATCTCATCGGTGATGTTAACGTTCCGAGTTTCCTTGTTTGGATGATCTCGTTGACTCATCGAACACTTGGCTTGATCCCACAATGCCGAATGGCGTATTTCGTTACTTTGCGTGCGATTCGTCGATTCTCGCACCTCGTTGGTTCGATCGGTTTGTGGCAACGAGCTGTGCTACGGACCTATAAGCATTTATATCCTACAGATACCCACTCAGAAGTATTTCAGTCTTCGTTCTTTTAAGAAGAGTCTGAGAGATACTTTTGAATGATGATATTGTTCCCTACCTTACAGATCAGGTGTCACGGGACCTCGAATTGGCTTCGTCCTTGATCCTTAATCCTCAGGCTATTCGGTGCTTTGTCGACTGTCTTTGTAAGGGTTCCGGTGCTGCATTTATTGTCTGACCAGTTTGTCGATTTTTGAACTTTGAAAGTCGATTCTGATTTTTTGATCTTTTAGCATCACGATCGATCTGTTGGCCGTCGCGATCTTTATCCGCAACGCGTTGTCCGGCGTTGTGTTTGTTGAGTTATCCTGTAGAATTTTTAAAAAGAAACATTCTCCAGAAACCTTCTCAAAAAATTTAACGGGAGACAGTTTATACTCGTATACTTATTATTGGAGTAATTAAGAAGCAGTTTATACTCGTATACTTGTTCGGAGTATTAAGAATGCAGTTATACTCGTATATTTTCGGAGTATTAAGAAGGCAGTTTATACTCGTATACTTTGTCGGAGTATGATTTTTTTTTCATTGCAACGCATTGATAGGCGGACGTTGAACTTAGGGTTAAGCGCGTTGACCGGCGTTGACCCTAGGGTTTCGAATGTCGTCACGTTGACTGTTTGATTGCAGATTGATCGGCATTGACCTAATGGTTACGCGTATGGTCCGCGTTGACCGTCAGGGGTTTTGAAACGTCGTAGTGTTGAATTTTTTTGTTTGAAATGCCGTTACTGTGGCGTTGAGCCTTAGGGTTACGCGGTTGTGCGCGGCGTTGAGACCTGGGGTTTTGGACCGTCGTAACGTGATTTTTTGCTCGTAACGCGTTGACTGGCGTTGACCGCTAAGGTTAACGCGTGTCCAGCGTTGACCTGGGGTTTTAGACCGTCGTAGACGTTGACATTTTGATGCGCAACGCGTTGAAACTGGCGTTGACCTAGAGTTACGCGTTTGTCTGGCGTAGGATCCTTAAGGTTATTGAACGTCGTATGTTGGGCTCAGGTCACGAAGCCAACTAAAGAAGCTGATGCGTAGTGACTCTCGTATTTATATGGATTTTTGGGCAATCCCAGCCACATCCAACGGGCTTTGATCGCCTTTTACCGACTACCGTTTGAGTCGGGCTACAAGCGGATGTTTAGATCTGTTTGTTCCGCAATGTGACGTTATGCTAAAAGAGTTAACTCTTTTAGTGCTAAACGGATATTGAATACGTGACTTCGTTTCTCGCTGTGAAAAGACTAAAACAGCACGTTGTATCAAGACGGTTGACTTAGGATTTTTTGGCAAATCCTCAGCCCTCAACCGGATTTGTCATCCTTTTACGCGATTACCGTTGTTGACTAGGGCTTTACATGCGGATTGTCTAAGTCGTTCTGTCATGTGAGGGTTGTGCTAAAGGAATGAACTCCCCTTCGACTTGATGCTACGACTTCGAAT